ATAATAAAAGTAATCCCTCATGATTACTTTTCATGAGGGATGACAAATGGGCCTTCTTGATTGGTTGGTCTTTTTCTTTTTCTTTTTTTTTTGTTTCATGGTTTTTTGGATAAATGTTCAAATTGGTTCTTAAAGTTTACAAAAATGCTTAAATAATGACCTAATCATTTAATTTGGTTAATTAAGTTTCTAGCGTCAAATTGACATCCTAAATAACCCCAAAAGGTTAGGAACTTAAATTGACATTAAGGACTGATTTGAACCGATTCTGCAACATTAGGGATTGATTGAGTCGATTTTGCAACGTTTGGACTTAATTAACCAAATTAGAAGATTATGCCCTTATTTGAGTATTTTAAAAAATGTTAAGGATCAATTTGAGCAATTAGCCTGGTTTCTTTGGATTTTGCAGGTGTGTTTGGTTTATTGAGTTTGGGCCTCTATCATCCCTTTGTTGTTAGACTGCTATGTTTTTTTTTAGGGCTAATACATAGGATTTGAGCTTTGGACCTTTTACTTCTATTTATTGTACAGTTCCTTTTTATTGGGCTATAACACATATTAAATTTGTGAGTTTTTGTTTTTTTAAGTGACTTTGTTGACTAAATATCCCTCATGATGATTTTTCACTATTTATGGAGAAATTATTAGAAAGACCGCTCATGCGCTACGTCATTTATCCTGACTATTAAAATTGTGATAACTTTTTTTTTTTTTTTTTACACAAGTGATACGACTTAAAACACAAAATTAAACCCAATTGAAGTTTGACCTAATGCAATTGCTTTAAAGTGTAATTTTAATGGACTTTTGACCCCAAAAAAGAACTTTTATAAACATTCAATAGAGAATTTAAACTTAAAAATGATTAAAATTATTTTAAAAGTTGATTTTCACTTCAAATGATTAAAATTAATAAGTATGGTTAAGTGTTTTAACTTAAAAAAAATAATATTCTTTCTAATTTTGCATTACTTAATCAGTCAATCATATTTTTGAGAAAAATTAACTTGTATTGATACTAAAATTCCGGATTACAAAATGCAGATTACTTGTATTGTTAATCTCCGTCACCGCAACCAGACAATCACTTTCTAAAATGCAGTTCTGTATATCGTGTTCCACTGCTATCTCAAAACCAAACAATATGGCATGAACTTCCGCATAAAAAGAACTAACAACAACCCCAAGTTCCGCTTCTATAATCCTCGAAGCACTAACCACAACCTCCTTATCACTATTCTAACAACAACCCCAAGTTCCGCTTCTATCCTCGCAGAACAAAATGCCGCATCAACATTAATCTTCAAGGAACCTGATGGTGGAGACAGCCAGCAGTTAACGCGAACAGCTGCTGGTCTTGTTATAGCTGGTGCTACCAAATTCATTAAGTTTTGAATCAATTTACTCATCGAAATTGTCAAAGCCAATGGCATAGAGCAGCAAGCCGAGTGTAAAGCTTCATTCCGGTTACGACATATGGACCAAAGCAAAACTAAAAATAAATCAAGCCGCCCTAAGCTCTTGGCTTTGCCAATCATACGCTGCTAAAAATCATCCTCAGTAGACCACATCTCGATACAATCTTCAATCTAAGGTGCAGCCAAATTCCATACTTGAACATTAAAAGGGCACCCGAAAAAAATATGAAAGCAGGATTCATCATGATCAGTACACACTGCGCATAGACCATCAACCCCCATATATACCTCGCTGCTGCAAATTCAATTTCACAGGTAATAAGTCCCATATTAGTCTCCAAGTGAAGTAATGTACCTTTGGCGGGATGTTAGCACTCCAAATCCCCCTCCAAAATTGTCTTTGTGTCTCATCACTCTGATCTTCCCACCCTAACAGCTTCCTGGCCACATAGTAGGCCGATTTAATAGTGAAAACGCCCAATGAGGGTCCATTCCAAATCAAACTATCGGGTTTAAGGGTTCTCGGTATCGGCAAGCACATAATCCGACCAATTTCTTCTTCAATCACGGTCTATACTAGCTTATCAGCATCCCACTGCCGCTCATCAAAGTTGATCATATCGGAAACCTTCATCGTATCAAGTACTACTCCTTCCAACGACCTTGGCTTGAAACTAGGGGGATCCAGCAACCATCTTTCATGCCAAAAATTAAAATCACCGCTCTCCACATGCCATTTTGAGCCTTCGACAAGCACCTTACGCCCTTCCATTAAACTTCTACAAATAAAAGATGGGTTGTGTCCCAAAGATGCAAGAAGAAAGTTAGATCTTGGGAAGTACTTGGCTTTAAGCACACGAAAGCATAGCGAATTCGGGTTCTGTTGTAACCTCCAACATTGTTTTGCCAACAATGCCAAGTTGAAGGCCTCAAAATCACGAAAGCCCAACCCGCCATCCAATTTTAAAATGCATATATCCTCTCATTTCTTCCAATGTATCTTCCGTATATTCGCATTGCTTCCCCACCAGAACTTCACCAATATCATATTCAATTCAGCAATAAAAGTCTTCGGGAAACGAAAAACACTCATTAGATACATCATGATCAATTGTGCCATAGATTGTATCATCATTGCCCTACCTGCAATTGAAAAAATTCTATTCTGCCAACTGTCTACGAACTAGCCCCTCCTTGATATATTGGAGTTCTCGCTTCTTAGCTCTACCAACCATAATTGGTAAGCCAAGATATTTTTCCCGCTCTAAAATACGTTGCACGCCCAGCTTTCGCATGATCAAACTTTGGACTACCATCGCCATATTAGAGCTAAATAGAATGACCGACTTATCAATATTCACCTGTTGACCAGAAGCTTGTTCAAAATCATGTAAAATGCCAAGCACAGCTTCACACTCCTCGACACATGCTCTTAAAAATAGGATACTATCATCCGCAATGAATTAAATTACTGAGCTATTCAAGGCTACTCCATGAATTAAATTACTAGTCGTAGTATGTGTAATTAAGCACGAAAGCACCTCCATACACAGTAAGAACAAGTGAGGAGACAAATGATCTCTTTGTTGAATACCATGACTAGGACAAACTTTACCACAAAGTTTCCTATTAATCAAAATAGAATATGAAACTGATTGCACACATGTCATGATCTGCGATATCCACCTAAGCGAAAAACCCAATTTACACATACACTTTTCAAGAAAGCTCCATTCTACCCTGTCATAGGACTTACTGAAGTCAAGTTTGCAGCAAGCCTGGTATTGGTGGAGCATCTATTTGCTAGGTTTCTTGAGTCCTAATAACGTCTTATTCTCTTCTTCTTTCTTATGGGTTTTGTTGAGAACGATGGCTGGAACACTTTCGAATCTGTCGAAGCTTTCAATCCAAGATGGGGAGGAAGCTAACGAAATAAGCCCGGTAGAGAATAGTGTGATAATTGAGGATGCAGACTGGCTTGAGGTGACGGAGGAAGGGGTTGCTTCTTTCCATCTGCTGGGCAAACTTTTTTTCGAAGAGGAGGGCTAATGTGGAGGGGCTTCGGGTAGCCATATACCAGGCTTGGAAGCCGGAGTGTGATCTTGTGGTCAAGTGGTCAAGGAAGCAGGAGACAACCTCTACACATTTAAATTCGATGATGTAGTGGAGCGTGATAGGGTTCTTGTGAACCAACCATGGTCGTTTCATAGAAATTTGTTGGTTCTTCGGGAATTTGATGCTTTGCAGGTGCCGGAGGAGATTAGTTTTCAGTTGTGTCCGGTTTGGATGTGAGTTTTTAAACTTCCCATTATGATGATAACGGAGAAAGTGTAGAGGGCCGTAGGAGCGGCCATGGGTGATGTTCTTGAAGTATATCAATCTTGCAGTAGGTACCTTCGGATTAGGGTAAGGATTGATGTTAATCTTCCATTGAAGGAGGGTACAACGATTACTACGCCGCACAGGGATATTGAGGTGAAGTTCCGTTTCGAAAAATTCTCTACTTTTTGTCGGATTTGTGGGATGGTAATTCATCTTGATCAAGACTACCCTGTTCGAGTTTTGCATTTAAAACTCAATGTTTTATGATTCTGAAGTTTTCTGGTTATCTGCGTGCCGAGATACCAGACCTCAAGCCAAGGCATTTCCATATCGGAGTCAGTAGCTTGAAGACAGGTAGCTTGGGTGGTGCAAGTGGCAGCCGCTGTTTGCCTGCAACAACTACTTCTGTGACCTCTCGGCCTCAGGCGTTCCGGAAGCATGTTGATAGTTTGGCTCTCCGGTGAAGGGCGGCGGCACAGGCTATTGCTGATGACAATGTGTTTGGGAGGTTGCCTAAAAAATCGGAGGGTTGTTGGTGGCGAGGGGTAAGGATCCGATAGTGGTAGGAGAGGTTAGTTCTCCAAGGAGATTAGTGGAAAACGTGGATGTTGTTTTTTATCGTGATGTGGATGGGTGTCATGTCCGACGTGGCGGCGATGTGGCAGCCAAATTTCAAAAAAAATTGATGGAGGAAGGGATCATGGGGGCGAGTCTGACTATTTGAGTCTTAAGGGAGTAGAGGGTTCGAGTGCAAATTTTGCAAGTGCTGAAAACGTGGCTCATTTGGTCCCTGGTATTTGGCCTTCGGTAATGGGCTTGGGACCTAAGCAGGGTGGGACATTTGACATGGGTTTGGGATCTAAGTAGTTTGGGCCTTTAAATATGAGTTCGGGTTCTAAGCAAGGTGGGCCTGTGGACATGGGTGTGGATAAAAGATGGATGCTAGATCCTGTTTCAAATGAGGCTAATGGGCATAAACGTTCTAAGCCCACTTTAGTTGATGATTTTGGGCCTGATGTATACTCCACTCTAGTAGCAGGACAGAAGTCGCAGTTTGCTATGAGTGAGCTATCTTCTTCTCCTCTTTTTATCTTCGGCAATGGTGCTACTTTAGAAGCAAAGTCAGTTCGGAAGTGGCGTAAGATGGCAAGGGTTTTGTCGAAGTAATCGTTTGAAGTGTTGGGTCCTCAAACCAACCTTAAGGAGGGGCAGAAGTAAGGCTTCAATAATGGTATTATGATCTCGGATGGTGCTGCATCGGCCAAGAAGTCTAGGGATAGGGAGGAAGGCTTAGGAGGCGACTTTGCAGGGCTAGAGGAAGGTGCTAGTGGCACGACAAATGACATCAATTCGGTGGAACAACCTACTATTAATGTTAATCCAGCGGCAGAGATGATCAGTAAGAATCATCTCTGCAGAAAATTATGAATTGTTTTGTTTGGAACTGCCGGGGCTTAGGGCAATCCCGGACAGTTCGTGAGTTAGTTAATTTGTTTCTTTTAATAAGCCCATGCTTTTATTTTTGTCTGAAACTAAAAGAACTAGGAATGCAATGGAATGGATCTGAGTTCGTTTGGGTTATGATTTTTGTCTTGCTGTAGATTGTAGAGGTAGATCAGGTGGTTTGGCTCTTTTTTGGCTTAACTGTATTGATGTTTCTATCCTTTCTTTTTGAATTACCATATTGATGCTCAAATTGGGTCTACTTTAGCCACTGCATGGATGTTCACTGGTTTTTATGGTAGACGAGAGACACATCGTAGGAATGAGTCCTGGCACTTACTTCGAACCCTTAATGTTAAATCGTCGTTGCCATGGTTGTGTGCTAGCGATTTTAATGAAATTTTGTGCAGTGATGAGAAGGTAGATGGGGCAATTGATCCTTCTCTCCAAATGGATGAGTTTCGAGAGGTTGTTGAAGGCTGTAATTTTCGAAGCCTTCAAGTGCAGAGGCCATTACTAACATGGCATACAAAGATACATGGAGAAATTGTGTTTGAAAGGCTTGATCGTGCTTTTGGGAATAACCTATGGTGGGATCCTTTTGGTTTTTCTTTCGAAAAACATTTGTCTACAACAGTCTCAGATAATCACATTTTTAATTGCTATACATGAGCAACCAGTAGTTCCTTTTGGAGGAGGTAAACATTTTAAATTTGAGGCTATGTGGTCTTCGCATGATGATTTCGAGCGTTTAGTGCGTGATTCTTGGAATGGTGCTTCGTCGCAGAGGATTATTTGAAATATTTAGTCTTGCGGGATTGCATTGGCACAATGAAACAAGTCCGTTTTTGGGAGTGTGAAGCATAAATTGAATGCCAAAAGCAAGGAGTATGATGCTGTGTATAAGGAGGGTACGGATGATACTCTTTTTAATCAGTGCAAAAGTGAGTTGGATGATCTGATTAAGCAGGAAGAAGTAATGTGGCGGGAGAGATCAAAAGCGTTTTGGTTGAGGGAAGGTGATAGAAACACGGGTTATTTTCACTCAGTGGCAACAACTCGGAGAAGAAGGAACAATATATCTAGCATTGAAGATGCCGGTGTGGATTGGAAAACTAGTGATGCTGATATTGAAAAGGTTGCTTGTGACTACTATCAGGATATTTTTTCTACAATTAATCCATCGTCACAAGCTATAGAGACAGTGTTATCTCACGTTTCAGTTCGAATTGATGATGAAATGCGGCATTTGCTTTATGCTCCATTAGGGAGGCTGCTTTCGAAATGCAGGCGAATATGGTGCCCGATCCTGATGGGTTTTCCCCTTCTTTTTTCCAGAAGTGTTGGCATATCGTAGGTACGGATGTTGTGCGTTTTGAACTTGACTTCCTGAATAATGGGGTTGATCTGCCCGATGTAAATCACACAAATATCGTCTTGATCCCTAAAGTTGATAATCCAGGGACGATGAGGGACTATCGGCCTATAACTTTGTGCAATGTGATTTTCAAAATTGTTTCTAAAGCTATTGCGAATCGTCTCAAATTGGTGCTTCCTAGTGTGATTGGGGAGAGTCAGAGTCCACGGGAGGAGGAAAGCAGTAGGCGGCGGAGAGACAAAAGGGAAACATTAATAATAATACTATTATAGTAATGTAATCTATATAAGTTAATTAGTACTTTTTAATCATGGATTGGATCTAGGTGAAGATTAGGACTATCTAGGTAATTTTGATTTTGGTTTATAAAAAAATGTTTTCTTATAATTATAATTATAAGGTTCTTATATTTTTTATCAATATGTTTATGTATTATTATACTTCATGTTTAATTTTTAACCGTATCTTATGAACTGAAACTCGATATTTAAAAATTGGATTTCGATACACGATATATATCTCGATTTAACAACTATGAGACTTACCCCCAATAAATCCCACATTGTCAATCTTAGGCTAAAACCGCCACTAAATTTATGCAAAAATTTTAGAAATAATTCTGAATTGTCACAATTATTTGTCGGGATATATGACATGGTGGGAGTAGTCCATCTAATAATTTCTTTCATTCATTATTGTGAAGGTGACATATGGCATATTGTTATTATAAAATATTTTTTCGTAGTATTAAAATTGATTGTATATTAATAATACATTTTCTTTTAATATTATATAAATTATTATATATAATATATATATATGATAACTTTATATAATAATAATTCATTAAGCAATAGAGTAAAATAGACTTAAATAATATAATAACATAAACTTAATTATGAGATGCTAGCCGATTATTGAGAAGGGAAAAGCCCCATAAAATCTACTTTGGGCAACGGAGTTGCTTCAGTGGAGGAGGAACAAGCAGTTGGTAATCTTAAATGCACATGCAACGAATATTAGCCGGCACCTAAAAAAAATACTTCACCTGTTATGAATAATATAATTTTGAGCAAAGTTAAGGAGAACATACAATGGAGGGATGCCTCAGTCAGAGCAATACGAGCCAAAGAAATGTTAAAGGGAATGATCATGACTACGTTGGTGACATTGGGTGTGATTTAGGCTTTTAGCTGGTGCAGTAGAATCATTTAGAGGTCCAAGATGAAAATGATCAGAAACATGATTGGTGTATGATTCAAAAGAAGGCAAATAGGGTGAATCATAAAAAGTAACAGAGACGTGGAGTTATTGCGAAACACATCTCCACAAAAGTCAATCTCAGAGTCTTTCTTGTCTGATAACGATATTGCTCATAGAAACATGATAATTCTAAAAGAGGCAGAGACTGTGTGAGAAGTGAATCGAGCTCTTGGCGTTTCGTTTGTACAAGATAAGCAATAGGTAATCCAGGCCCTGGTTGATATTGAAGGAAGACTGGGATCACACATGCTTGAAGCTCCTGGTGTTAGGTTTGTGTTTGGTAATATTTATGGTCTGAATAAATGAAGATGAATATAGGAAATTTGCTAGGTTCTTTGCTGGACTATTCATTGTCATGTAGGTGTGTGGATTTCGGGGGGCGATTTCCATATTACCACGTGTGGAGGAAGGATTTGGTGATTTCATATGGCAATATATTTTTTTGAAGCGATTCAAGTAACATTGTGAACTGGATGTATGCATGGAAGTTTGCTTATATGCCAAGAGATTGTGCAATGTTATTGATGATGGTTTGGCTAAGTCAGCTGGTTAATTTTAATTGATTGGGAGAAATGGTTGTTTTTGGTTTGTGGTTTCCTATTTCGGTTGGTGGTGTTTTTTTCCATGGAAATTGTTGTTCGGATTTTATGAGTAAGATTTATTTCTTTCTTGATTTTGGTTTCATTCTGACTCTTTGAACCTGAAATTGTCAAGTTTTCTCTTGCCTTCTTATAATAAAATATTATTGCTTTTCAAAAAAAAAAAAACTGAATATTTTTATATGAATTAAAAGAAAATACTTCAAAGAAAAAAGGTCTCATAGAACTAATTAAAATACAATTGATTGAATTACATGAAATTTTACTTAATCCATTTCTAGAGTAGCAGTACACTGTACTGGTTTGACCAGGCTTAACCCTTTTGGGTTTGGAGCATAACAAATTTAAATTCTTTGAACAAATGCAATCGAACATGTATTCTCATTTTTCACCCTACTAGGAATATCGCTTGCCATCTTAACTAATCTTTTTTTTTTTTGGCAAATTCTCTATGGAACATTATAACAACACACCTAAATGAATGATGATGGAACAATAACTAGAATGTAAGGGGAGATTATATTTGATATGGAATATTTGCTACACAAATATCAATAGAAGAAATCAGTCTTCAGCATATCTCCTTGTATAACTTCAAGAAAATCAGCATTGTAGACAACATTTTCAAATTCCCAATTCCAAAATGTTCAAACATCCCAAAATTTTTGAGAACAAGAGGAGGTACCAGAAAGTGTGCCAGTAATCTCGTTTCTTTTATAGTAGATGTCGAAAATGTAGCGGCTCGTTTGATGTGCAATTTTGAAAATAGGCCAAAATGCTTCAAATTTCCTCTTACCATCATGTGGATCATTTTCAGCTTCTCTCATTTTAGCATCTACCTCTCAGAGTAGGCTCAATCAATTCCCATCTATCTGGATATTTGATTAGATTGGTCCGCACCTTTGGCATTTCTTAGTAATTTTTAATGATTATTCAATATTTATAGGTAATTCAGTAATTGACAAATAAAATGAAATGTAAAACAATTATTTTCTTATCAAAAAACTTCTTAAAAAAGAGTTACGCTCTAATCCAGATGTAGTTCGAATTCTGAATATCAAATTGAGATCAACTTCAAAATTAGTCCAAACTCGAACCTAATCTAAGATCGAATCCGAAAATATCAAAACTCAACATGGCCTGAATTCGAATCCGAATGAATCTAACTCACCCAATTGACAGCTCTACAATTACGCTTCATTAGAGCTAGCTAAAAAAAATTAAAGATCATTAATTAATACTCGCAGCTCATGTTTAGGCATTTTCAATTTTGAATAGTGTAATTACTATCCTGGGCACGTGTTAAAAGATCCCTTTTTTTTTGGCGACTCATGAACATGATATTGAAATTGACTGTATAATAGGAGTTAACCATCTCCTTTTCCTATAATCCCACCTCGTCCATCCCAAGATTCGAACTCAGGATCTCCTACAAGAAATCCTAAGTTTTAACTAATGGGGTATCCTCTTGGGGATGTTAACAGACCTTTTTAATTACATTTAATAACATGTACTTTTTTGTTAGATCAAATTAACATGTACTTAATTTGAAAGAAAAAAAGGACATTTATTAAATTAAGAGTTTGTCAAGTTTAATTGTTTCACACTAAACTAAAAAGTATTCCTAATCAATTTACTTCAATATATATATATATATATATATATGTATATATATATCAGCTATTGCCTCCTTTCCTCAGCAACTCTTTAAACTCTTC